ATGTTCTGTCGTCTGCTTTCGTCTCCACTTTCTGCTCCCACCCCCCCACCCTTTTTGTCTCCTCCTTTGGGTTTCTGACTGTTTCAGCGGCCTTTCTGCGGCCACATCCCTGATCTTAGGATAAGTAATATCTAACACTTAGCCTTCTCGGATAAGGGCGAAAAATCTCGGAGATCTCGTGTGCAAGTTGCACATTTTAAACCTGCCTTGGTGATCCTAAAATCGATAAGAAAAGGCAAAATTCAATGTTAAATCCTACCAAACTAAAGATGCCTAATGTGTCCCGCGTGCTCATATTATGACTTTATGCAGTTGCGAGCGCCGCAAAAAAGTTGGGTTCGTATTTTCTAGTGTAGCTCTAAAGCGGAAACACAAAAAAGGGAAAGAAATATGTGTGAGTTGCGTAGCGACGTTTGTTTTTTAGATCCACTTTTGTTTTTGTTTTCCTTCTAAGTCATTGGGGAGAAAACCTGGGGGAGGGGGTGTCTCTTCTTCGAAAGTTTTACATGGCACAAGATATAAAACGGAGTCAATAACACTGAATGAGATTATGAAGCTACCAATTAGGACAAGTGAGTTAGATTTTTTTTTTTTTTTTTTTTTTTAGGGGGGGGTGGGGGTACCCTTTTATTTTCATTCTTGTGAGTTCGATAACAGTTTGAAACAAGGTACAGGAGATGGTTTCGTTGTATTAATCCTTTGAAAACGTGCACATGACTACGCGAGCAGACGAACTGTTTTAGAGGGCACTGTAAAAAAGAAGCACAACTCCGTGATTGGTACATATGTTTTCACTTTTCTGTATATGAAAATTACAAAGGAAGGCAATAGTATGCATATTATGAACTATTCCTGTTTTTGATTTGTCTATGGTGGTTCGAAATGTGCAGCAAGGTTGCCTTTTAGTTTTAATCTACTGCTGCTGATCGGGCATACCTGTCGGCAACACTCTTAAGGGTCAAAATATGGTTTAGTTTTGGAAGTGTCTAGGTAGACCCCAATTGGGGACTACGTAGTCATGGTGTCTAGATGCCCCCCAAAAAATTTTTATTGTAACCTCTGACCCCTGCTGAATTTTTTAAAGGAAGTAATAAGTGGGTCCAATACTTCCCAGAAGATACAATGGAAGATGACATTAGTTTAGCTTTTACTGTTGGGCAAACTTTTAAAGTACTGTATTTATACTCTACTGGAATGAAGCTATAAATTTTAATAGATGCAAAAAATTAGAAGGTCTAGATCTATGCTCTCAAAACAGAAATGGATAATTCTGGCTGTGCTTTAAGCGGAAACGGACATGTTTAAAAATTTAAATTAATGAAGAAAAAGAATTCATCACTTGTGGAACTTTTTTTTTTTTTAATTAGAAAGAAGACGTATTAGAAGTTATGGATATGCATGTGCCATGGGCACTCTTCAACCACCGAGAATGTACCCTGTAAATTCTGAAGCCATATGGCTGGGTGGTTTTGGAGTTTTAGGCAACCGAAAATTGCCAAGTGCCC